TCCGTACCTTAGAGCACCTAGGCACAAAGATGCTGATGACCGTATTGAAAGAAGCAGAATAAGTAAATAAATAAAAGTAGAATAAACTCTGCACTCATTTATTCTTTCTGAATTTAGTGGACAAAAGTCTAAAACTGAGGGGTGTTTAGCTTTGTATTATGTATAATTAATTTATATAGAAAATAGCACCCAATCCCATTTTTATTACTCGACTTCCACAGTAATTGGTTGTGTTATTCTTGCATTATTTATATTTCTAATTATGTTTTGCTTTTTCACTAGATTATTATGTTTTTAAATTACTTCATCAGATAAGATATAGAAATGCAGAGCAAATTTAGGGGTTTCTTAAAGCATCCACCAGTTTGATAATTTGCTGAGGTTAGAGAACTCTGTACTCAAAGTAATGGTTTATTGCAGGAAAGGATGGATTAAAACCAACCCAGAGCAGAGTCTGGGAGGGCTCCCAGTGTCTGACCTGGGTGATCTTCAGCAAATGTCACACATTGGCACCGATGTGGGGATAATATGAATGGAAAATTACAAGTGTAGGAATCTCACTCAACTTTCAGTGTACAAGGATTTTACTGGCTCTTCCTTACATGGACGTGTGAACCAGCTTGACTCAGTCTCTAGTGGTGCCTGATTTCTACCCAGTAGTCTGTGTGATTTCATGTGGCCAAAGGGGTGTCAGCTCATTAGCATTAATTTTCAGCTATCCCCCAAGTTGCTTGCCTTGAATAGGAAACCATTCCTAACTCTTGGTAAATTCCAGAGTTTAGAAGTGACCTCCAAGGGGCTAGGAGGTACAAGTCAAAGCTGTCTTTGGTCAAGGCCAATTTATTCCCTGTACATACTATGATATATCATGGCTGTTCCATTTTGAAAAATATGTAAAGACATGTATGAATGTAACTATCACTGCAAGGAAATGTTCATCCTCTAAGTCACTTTCCTTGATTGCCTTTTTCAACCCTGCTCTTCTTTTGGCTGCCCCTAGTATTTATTTTATTTTTCACATTACATTACCCTTGTAGAATTGAACATCAAAGTGACATATTTCTAGTCACGGAACCCTGGGGAAGTTGGGCAATTTCCTTTTATAGAGGAAAAGTATTAAAGTATATACTGTTGTCAACCATTTCAAGACACAAAACAGAATGCAGTGGTCTCTAGTTTTGATTTTCACTAATAAAAACATCAAAGAGTTACCATAAATGCATGAAAATAATTAAATAACATGATAATGAAATACTAACAAGAAATATCTACAGAGGAATTAAATGACACTGTCCTAAATTACAGATATAAAAATGATATCAATTTAAATATTATATGTGCTCCCTAGAACAATATCTGTGTATATGAAAATGAATTATCACATTCATTATCACAAAGACTGTGAAACACAGGTAGATGGATAGATGGAGAGACACAAGGTTGTGTTCCAAGAAGTGAATTTATCACCGGGGAGATAGCTCAGTAGAATAAGTGCTTGCCTGGCAAGTGCAAGGTCCTGTGTTCAATCCCTGGAACCACCAAAAAAAAGAGTGAATTTACCATTTCTGTGTGAACAGAGCTCTGTATAACTTCTTATGCAAAATTTCCCTGTCATCTTTTTAAACATATTTAGCTCTCTATGGCTCTTTCCTTTTCTCTTCAAAAAATAAAGCAATAGGACTAAATTATCTTGTAATTTGTTCTCTAAGATTAATGAGTCAATGTATACAAAACTTATTAGCTTGTGATACATATTAATAATAAATAATGTGATTAATAGCTCTAATTGTGATGAGAAAATATTTGAGCTAGTAAAATAATCTAGCTCTCTAGGAAAATCCCGTATGCAGGGAGCAAAATAGTCCCAATTGCTATTGATGACAATTGTGTAATAGCAACTCGAACCTATAAAATTTCCAGTTCTAAACTGGTTTAATTCTTCCTGTCTCTATTCCAAAATTCTAGATTTAGATGTCAGGAAGGTAGTTGTTAGACATGGGATAATTTCAGCAGTACTACACCATTTGGTCAAAATCTTTTTAAATTTTCTGACTTTAAAATCCTCACCTATTTTCTCCCATTCCTGTATAAAAGACACTTAAACAACTATGTACAAATATTGCATTTTACTATAATGAACATATTAAAGTGTTATTATCAACATAATAAAAGTTCCATTTATTAGTTCCATTCATTGTTGCATACAGTAAATCTAATTTCTTGAATAATTCATACCAACTATTTTTTTTGAAAGAATTTAAGGAAGAAACAGAAATAATGTCAAAATAATAAACTTAACAAAACAAAACTAAATACTAGGAATGTGCATTTTCTGTATCTAAAATAAAAATTAAATATGACAGGAAAATATATTTTCAAACGTATAAAAAATACCAAGAAGCAAAGTAGGGATCTATTATTATTAAGTAAGTGTTTTATCAAATTTCTATAACAAAAGTTAATAGAAGAATGCTGATAGGCCAATCCTCAGCACCACATGCCCCACCGGCCAACGTGCCCAGGCACACTGAATGAGCCACCAAGCCTGGCATGGTGCTGCACATGCTGAAACAGGAGGATCACTACAAGTCTGAGCTGTGTAGTGAGACCTTGTACCAAGTACATTTTTTAAAAAAAGAAAAATGTTGATAGGTGAAGTAGAAGATATTTTACTGGGATGAATATGCCAAAGAGGATGCACCTGAAGAAGAAACTCTGTGGCTAAGGCTGCCAATTTTCCCCACTATTTTTCTTACCATCCTTCCTTTGTGCTAATTAAAGCATACTTTTTTGGTAATTAAAACCTCCTGTTTTTAGTAAAGAATAGGAGTTCATTAGAGATTACGTAGCCTAGTTTTCCTTAATGCTAAACACACTTTGTGAAAAAAAAAGACAGCTGAATTTTATTTTTAAAATTTCCAGTCACAATGTCAAAAAGAAAGATGATGTTCATCAATTTCTTCTCTGTCTTTTATATTAGCAGGAAAATAGAAACACCCAGAACACTTGCCTAGATGCCAGAGACAATTTATATACCAAATATAGCAAAAGTAATGCAACAACTTTGGCCTAACTACCCACAAACCTCTGGTCATTTAAGTTGTGAAGGATCTAACTTCTATTTCCTTAAAGTATATATTTGGAATGTTTTGTTAAAGAAGCTTAGCCTTTATCCTAATCAGCTTTCCATTTTACCTGACAAAAATTACAGAGAAGATTTAGACTATAAGATGGCTATAGTTATAAATATAAAGTAGAACACAGTGATATTTCCCTGTAATTCCAGCTTTATGGGAGACTGAGGCAAAAGGAGCCCCAGAATGGGAAATTTAACTTTAGCAAGACTCTTGTCTCAATTTTTTTTTAAAGCTGAGGATTTTGCTGAAGGTGAATGCACAGGTTCAGTCCCCAGCACCGAGAAGGAGGGAGAGAAGAGAGGAAAGGTAGGGAGAGAAAGACAGATAGACAAGCAGGAAGACAGATGGACAAACAGACAAACAGACAGGTATATACAGAAACTAAAATTGAATTGAAAGCAGAAAATTACCTTTAAATTTATTCATAGAAAAGTTGTTCTTTATATTGCTCTACTCCAATAACAGCAGTTCCTCCAACAACTTTCTCTCCTATTTACTGCCATAAAATGAAAATGAATTGCTCTTTTCTTAGGAATTGGAGGGCTGGCCAAATAGCTGAGTGGATTAAAGGACCTGTTTAGGCAGACGCAGGGGCTGGGAATTTGATCCCTGAGCCTGCCCTACCGGCTCCACCCCCAGCACACTGAGAAGGTGATTGAGACTGGGCATGGTGGCGCACACCTATAATCCCAGTTCTTGGGAGGTTATGAAGAGGATCCCTACAAGTCCAATCTATGCAGTGAGACCCCATAGACCCTGTAGACCCTTCTCTAAATACAACAACAACAAAAAGGAATTAGACCAAGTCTTCATGAAGAAAGAGGACACTGAAATGTAGATTTCCCCAAGCAAGAATTAAGATGACTTGAGTGAAAGTGGGTATGAATAAGTGACACAAGGTTTTTATCCTGTTTCTATTCAAAATATTGGTGTTTTAGACTCATGTTCTACCCCCACCCCACCATCATGAGAACCTTGTTGAACAGTCTGCCCTCTGATCATCTGGAAAGCCCAGCTGACTCCTGACTGCTTCAGCATCTTCAGTGAGTTGTGCTCTAACACTGGCATTTGCAGGAGAAACCCTGAAGTTTCTGAAATGATAGAAAATGAAAAAAATAAAAATATCTATCAGGCTATAGAAGAAATCATATCACAAATAATCTCTCATAAAACAACCCTGAAAAAAAATTTTGAACACATCTAGAGAAAATATAGATGAAAACAATAATGGGACATGGAAAAATGATGAAAAGATTGAATAAACGATATAGGAAACAATTAGAATTCATAAAATGTATTCAAGAAGATATTCATAAAATTAAGAATATCATTGAAAGCTGGGAAAACCTCTTGAACAAAATTAAAGATAGACTTTCAGACCCTGAAGACAGCATTGCAGCTAGTGATTGTAAAAGAAAGACCTCTTAAAAATAACAAGGGCAGAGAGTCTTTTTACCAAGATGGAGCTGAAGGGAAAGAAGGAAAGCCCTTTCCCTCCCAGAGCTGAAGCCAAAGCCAAAGGTTTGAAGGCCAAGAAGGCCATGCTGAAAGGCATCCACAGCCACAAAAAGAAGATACAGATGTCACTCACCTTCTGCCATCCCAAGACACTGTGGCTCCAGAGACAGCCCAAATACCCTCGAAAGAGCACCCTCAGGAGAAACAAGATTGACCACTATGCCATCATCAAGTTCCTCCTGACCACAGAGTCAGTCATGAAAAAGATTGAGGACAACAACACACTCATGTTCACTGTGGATGTCAAAGCCAATAAGCACCAAATCAAACAAGCTGTAAAGCTCTACGACATTGATGTTGCCAAGATCAATACTCTAATCAGAAAACTGGCTTGGTAGATCCTCTGTGAAAATGATGAAAAATTCACTATTTGGAAAAGAATGACATTAACAAAGGAACCGCTGATGCACCAGAGGAGTAAGGAAAGGAAGGAAAAGAACAATGAGAGCAGTAAGGGCTAAGACTTCCTTCTCTTCCCAGGCCTGATGGAGAAAAGAAGGCATATGCTCAACTGGCTCCCAATTATGATGCATTGAATATTGCCAACAAAATTGGGATCATCTAAATTGTGTCCAGCTGGCTAATTCTAAATACATACTCCCCCCACACACAAATAGTAAGAAACCAAGAAATAATAAATCAACAGCTTCAAGATGATACAAAAAATAATATAATACTTATTGGGTCAACAAAACAGCAAGAGTCAACACAAATGACAGTAAAAGACTATGCAGAAATACTAGCAGAAAATTTCCCAGTCATGGGAAGGGAATATGACATTCAGTTGAATGAGGCATATAGAGCTCCAATAAGACAAAACAAAAATGTATCTATACCCAGACACATAATAATCAAGATTCCAGAAATTCAGCAAAAGAACAGCATACTAAAAGCTATTAGAGAAAAGAAACAGATCACCTATAATGTAAAGCCTATCACAATCATAGCAGATTTCTCAATATAAACTACCAAATAAAGAAGAGCGTCAACTAAAATATTTCAGGTACTGAAAGAACACTACTTCCAACCTGGATAATGTATTCTGCAAAACTATCTATTAAATTTAATGGAGAGATATAATACTTCCATGACAAGGAAAAAATGAGGAATTTGACAATCCCCAAAACAACCCTCCAAAGAATGCTGACAGATATTCTAGAAAGGGAGAGAAATGACAAAAGTTTCAATATAAAACATCCATCAAGCAGAGAAAGCAATTATACAGAGAAAGGAAAGTAGAGAACTAACAGTAGGAAAATGACATGACAAAATAAGCCAATATATATCAGTTATAACCATCAATGTAAGTGGCCTCAATTAACCAATCAAAAAAAAAAACCATACTGGCAGAGTAGACAAAGACACAAAATCCAACAATACGCTGCAAAAAGAAAAAAAATTAACTCAAAAGGAAATTAATAGCCTGAAAGTCAAAGGATGGGAAATGATACTCCATGTGACAAGAAGTCAGAAAAAAAGTAGGGGTCACTATTCTGGTTGTTGACAATGTGAACTTCAAGCCAAGAATAATCAAAACAGATACTGTATCTGAAGTCATTACATACTTGTTAGGAGAAAACTGCAAGAGGAAGAGATAACAATTATAAATATATATGCACCCAAAGTAGTAGCAGAATTTACTACTACTACAAGTAGTAGCACTAAACTATAAGACAAATTTTAATAGACTTAAAAAAATCAAATGAGCAATAACACAATTTTAATGGGAGACTTTAATACTCTACTGTGAAGAAGAGGTAGCTCAAATAGGCTAAGAATCAGAAAAAAAAACTGAGTTAAACCAACTTGTGAAAATGGACTTGGTAGAACTTTCAATAATGCTCTACCCAACACCATCAGAAGAAACATTCTTAGCTGCATATGGAATGTTTTCCAAAATAGACCATATACTAGCACATAGAGCATGCTTAATTCACTGCAAATGAATAGAAATTATCTGATGCATTTTATCTAATCAGAGTGTAATGCAACTGGAAATTGTTGACAAAAGAAATTTCAGACATTCCATAAACACGTGGAAATTAAATAACACCCTCCTGAAAAATAATTGGGTAACAGATGAAAGTAAACAATATTTACAATTAAGCTAAAATGCCAATAAAACTTATCAGAACCTAAGGGATACAATGAAAGCAATCCTAAGAGAGAAATTTATAGTAATAAATTATCAAAACAGGAAAACAAAGGAATGCCAAATAAACGACCTTATGCTACAAATCAAGCTTCTAGAAAAAGAAAAGCAACTCAAGCCCAAAGCCAAAGAGGGCAGAAAATTATAATATTCACAGCAGAAACTAATTCAACATAAATGAAGAAAACAATATGAAGATTAGTTAATCTAAGAGTTGGTCCTTTGAAAGAATAAATAAAAATCAATAAACTTCTAGCCAAAAAGAAGATATCTTTTTCCTTTTTATCATAAAAAGGAAAAAAAATTCTAATGCATGCAATAAAGAATGAAAAGGATGAAATCATTACAGATCTTATGGAAATTCGGCAGATCATCAATAACTACTTTGAGGGCCTGGGAGACAGCTCAGTAGAATAAACACTTACCTGGCAAGCACAAGAGCCTGAGTTCAACACCAGGTTCTACAAAAAAAAAAAAAAAAGAATGGCAGGTGCAAGGACCCTGAGGCAGGAGTGGGGCTGGTATGTTTGAAAAAGAACAAGGAATATAGG